TACATGGATCTCATGGGCAGTGGTGAATAGCTTGTCTGGTTGATTAGGGGTATGGAGAGAATAAGATTGGAAAATCGGGGACAGGGAGATCTGGGATAGAGGCATGTGGTGGGACTTCTGAGAGTGGGCACCATATGTGAAGATCATTGTATTCCATGTTAACACCCACCAGAGGTTGTACACCACGGAAGACGCACTCAACAACCATATATATGCAGTTGACATCAGCCAGCCTCTATCGAAGGCTGGGTGCATAAGCAGAGTAAGCATGCTGGCGTGGAGAAAGTGCGTGTATGGGCCCAATAGCATGGGCTCACACTCATCAACACTCATCTGGATATTGCTGATGCTGAGTGTTCAACCTGCCAGTTACAAGACCAACTCTGAGTCTCAGCTGCGTCTCCATTCCTTGAGAAGAACAACCGGCCACTTCACGAGTTGAGTATATTAAACCCCTTCCACCCTGGAAAGAGCTGCGATCCATTGACTGGAATAGACATATATTCCAGATATGACTCTGCTTGCAGGGCTCCATCCAGCAGAACTCTCCAAGAGTTTACAGTGTGTTTAATCTACTGGCTTGGATCCCATATGACTCTACAGCAAGGGAGGGGCAGCACTGGGCACATGGCTGTGGAGTCCACTCGTCCTTTCACACACTGCGCTAGCCTTAAGCTGCCAGTTTGGAACTCTCTGTTGAAGACACAGCTGAGCACCAGCTCAGAAACAATACTCTGTGAGAATAGGGTGCCATCGTCTGGGATGCAGCATACATTCTAAATCAAAGACTAGTACCCAGTGCTTTGTCTCTGTAGGTGGCATACATGGGCCCGGGACGCAGGGGTGGATGCAGGAGTGGTCTCACTCTTACCATCATTCCAGGAAGCATTTGTGCTTCCTGTCCCCACAACTCTGGGTTCTGCATCCTCTCTGGGTTAGAGGTCCTGATTCACAAAGAGGCCACGAGGGGAAACGTTGAGGTGACTATTGAACTTTTAGCTGTGACTGCCACCCAGGCACTTTGAGCTCCTTGTGTCAAGGGTCTAGCAGGCAAGAAGTGGAGTCACCATTCTTCCAGGGGTAATTAGCCCTCCTCGTCAGGAGGAGGTAAGGCTGCTGTTGAGCAGTAGCAGGCAGGGCGGTTTATCTTTGGTATCCAGTTGACCCATTTGGAGACCTCTTGGTGCTCCCTTGCCCAATATTTATGGTGAATTGGCAAATGTAGGGGCCATGGCCTGAGAAGGATATGGTGACTACAGGCTCAGACCCCTCAGGACACAGGGTCTAGATCATGCCGCCAAGTGAGTCACTGAGACCAGGAGAGGTGCTAGCTGAGGGTAGGGGGAATCTAGAATGGACAGAAGAAGGAGATGATGAGTATCAGTTATGGCCTCAAGACCAGTCAGTGTTGGGGCTGTAGTTTGTCCCACTAACTTTTCTCTGTAAGTTTCCCCCAGGAAAAGAGGCCCACCAGAATCCTGGAAGGGCTGCTCCCAGAGCTTAAATGAAGAAGTGGAGCTGAGCGTACAAGGTGTGGGCTGTAGTCGACGCTATCCTGCACTGCCCACACCACCACCACCACCTCCCCACCCCCCCCAGCCACCTCCAGGGCTGATGGGCCTGTTCCCTCTCAGCCAGCAGCCCTCACTGGGAATTTCCCTCAGCTGAAGACAGTTACCTCATCCAATGTCATACCCTTTGCCCAGGGTGGGTAGATCCAGGGTTATAAAAGTCTGGCCCCATTTGCCCCAACTCAGGACAACTCTGAAGGGCCATCAGAGCTTCAGAGCTCCCCGTGGGACTGGCTGAGGTCCTAATACTGCCTCGCCCAATTCACCTCTCTGTCTACTCTTGCTTCTTGCCCCACCTCCACCCAAGAGCAATCCCTAATTAACTTCCTGTATGCTAATCTCCATCTCAGAGTCTGCTTTCCAGGGAACCTGACCTGCAACATAGCTCTTCTAGTTGTTGGTAACAATTCTTGGGCAAAGGTCCCTTTAACAAAGGGACAGATAGTAAAGATTTAGGCTTTGTGGGCCATATGGTCTCTGTCACAACTGCTCAGCTCGGCCGTAGTAGTGCAAAAGCAGCCATAGACAATATGTGAATGAGTGAGCGTGGCTGTGTTCCACTAACACTCGATTTACAAAAGCAGGCAGTGGGCTGCACTTGGTCTGTGGGTCTTAGTGGCCAACCCCTGCTCTAGGAGAAAATTTTTTACATGTACACAAGGTAGGTTTGTACAAAGATTTTAATTGCAACGTGGTTTGTAAGAATAAAATTTTAGAAACAATCTAAATGTACACTCGAAAAAGAATGGTTAAATTGTGGAACTTGCAGGTTTCGGAATACTATGCAGCAGATAAAAAGAATGAGTTTAGAGTTATGTAACAGCACTGTCCAATAGAAATATAATGCGAGCCACATGTGTAATTTTTAATTTTTCAGTAGCCACACCAAAAAATGTAACAAACAGATGAAATTAATGATATATTTTGAGCTCTCTACGCCTAAAATGTTATCACTTCAACATGTAATCAACAGAAAAATTATTTATGAGATATTTTACTTTTTTTTTGGTACTAAGCCTTTGAAATCTGGTGTGTATTTTAACTTACAGCACATCTCAAGTCGGGCTAACTACGTTTTCAAGTGCTTGATGGCCACCTATGGCTGGTGGCTACTGTATTGGACAGTGCAGACCTGGAAGTACTGACATGGAAACGCCACTGAGACATATTGTTAAGAGAAAAGGGGAAGTTGCAGAACAATATGCACAGTATGAACCATGGTGTAAGAAAAAAAACTATTTCTGTAAGAACATATTGAAACAAAGAGAAAAAAGAAAAAGCTGTGTACAGATACCCAATTTAGAGAGAGGCTCTGGGTGCAGTGGGGGGGCTCGGGAAGGACTCGCTCTCTCCTTACCTGATGTTTTTAAATAAGCCTTTTTTTTTGGCAGTCATTTTAGATTCACAAAAATTTGCAAAGATGACACACAGTTCCTATCTGTCCCTCACCTGGTTTCCTCTCTTGTTAACATCTTCCATTAATGTGGGACATCTGTCGAAATTAAAAACCCACCGTGGGTGCGTTGCTGTGAACTAACTCCAGGCTTCCTTCGGACTTCACTGGCGTTTCCACTCACGTCCTTTTCTGTTCCAGGACACAGTCCAAGTTCCCGCATCGCCTTCAGTCCTGCCTCTCCAGCCTCCTCTGCTCTGTGACAGTGGCTCAGTCTCTCCTCGTCTCCCATGACCGTGACAGTCTTGAGCAGTGCTGGCCACGGATTTTGTAGACTGGTCCTCAGTCTGGATTTGGTGATGATTTCCTCGTGACCAAACTGGGGTTATGGGTTTTGGGGAAGAGGACAGAGGCGGAGTGCCCCTCTCGTCACATCACATTAGGCGCACGTGACATTCACATAATGTGTCACCAGTGATGCTAACAACGTTGACTGCTTGGTGAAGGTGGTGTTTGCCAGGTGTCTCCATGGTAAAGTTAATATTTTTCCCTTTCCATACCCTGTTCTTTGGAGGCAAGACACTAAGTCCAGACCCTACTCAGAGCAGGGATTAAGCCCACCTCCTGGGGGACGGTGGGAGAGCCACTTGAATTATCTGGAATTCTTCCCTAAGGAAGATTTGCCCATGCTCCCCTATTTATTTGCTTATTTAATATCAGTATGGACTCACATATATTTATTTTATACTTTCAATCTGTTTTTTCACGGTGACTGTAAATTCATGTATTTTTTTTTTAATGCAGAAAACATACAAACAACTGTGCTGTGTGAGAAACAAATTCTATGATGGCAAGATTCTCCCTCCACAGCTCTTCATGACTGCCTTTGCGTAGGGTCATCTTTGGCTTATTGCTATTCACCTGGCAACCTCACACAAGCTGTTTCAACTCTGCAGGCCTCAGTTTCCCCATCTGAATGAGAGAGTCTTCATGGAGTGGTCTCAGAGGGGAAGAGGGGATGATGTTTGTATGTTTATAGGTATACAGCTGTTCTGTTGCCTATTTACAGAACTAAAGTCCTTAAGGGCAAGGGGTATCTTCTCTTATTTATGTTGGAAAATGAACCCAGAGCTAATAGCCCTTGAGAACATCACCTAAACGTAATCTTTATATCCCCTCCCACAACCCCAGATGGTTCTCCTGCCCTGCTGTGCTGCCTCTCTGCATGGGATTTGGTTCTGCTTTTCTCGAGTGTCTGACACCCACCCCAAGGCCCGGCATTCAAGGCCTTGTCCTCCTTGGCCTCATTTTTGTGCCTCTCATCTACCTGTACTACGGCCACACAGACATCCTTGTCACCCCCATGAATTTCAGTGCTTACGGTATCGCCCTCCTCTGTGCCAGGCCCTGGGCTGGGCGCCAGGCCACAGAGATGAACCAGAGAGGGGCTCTGAGTCAGAGCTCACAGTCCAATGTGGGCGCCAAGTCCTCGATCCATAGCAATCTGACATACAGAGGGATGAGTGGAGCACTGTGGGAGCACAGTGGAGGGAGGGCCTGGCCTGGAGAGAATCAGAAAGGCTTGGCAAAGATGCTAACTTCTGAGCTGGGCTTTGACAGGTGTATGGGAGTTTACGGGGTAGTGAATGGGAGAAGGCGTATTCCAGGCACAAAGAAAGGTATGTGTGTGTGAACCAGAGAAATGGCAGAGACCAGGGAACAATCATAAGTGTCATGTGTCTGGAGCCAAAGTTCAGGAAGAAAGAAGGGCCCGAAGTGAGACAGGAGAGTGAGGTGGGGACCTCTGTGAGGAGCCTCAATTCTGGGCTGGCAGTTTCTACTTGCGGAATTTCAAAGGTGTTTTTCTTTTGTTTTTTTTGTTTTTGTGAGGAAGATTGGTCCTGAGCTAACATCTGTTGCCAATCTCTTCCTCTTCTTGCTTGAGGAAGATTGTTGCTGAGCTAACATCTGTGCCAGTCTTCCTCTATTTTACGTGGGATGCTATCACAGTGTGGCTTGACAAGTGGTGCTAGGTCTGTGCCCAGAATCCGAACCCGCGAACCCCGGGGTGCTGAAGCAGAGTGTAGGAACTTAACTACTGTGCCACCAGACCGGCCCCTAAAGGTTTCAAGGTAAGGAAATACCTAAGTAAAATTGTAGGTGCAGGATCAGGGGCTTGCTGTGTGGGTTACTGTTCACCAGCAAATATTGAGCGGCTATAGCACATCAGTATTTATGTGCTTCCCTCTCCACCTCCGCATGAGCTCCAGGCGGGGACGGTGTCTGATTCATTCCTGTGTCCCCAGCACAGAGTCTGCACAGAGCGGGAACTCAGCGCCCGGCACTGGAGGAGTGGATTAGAAGGCAGGTGAGACCCGGTGCCTGTCCCTGCTGAGGACCTCCCCGTGCAGGACTGGGGCCAGCCCGCCCTCGGCGGCGGGTTTCTCGTGGCTCTCAGCTTGGCGCTGGGTCAGGCCAGCTCCCTGAGAAGGCGCTGGGGCCAGATCGCCTCAGAGCCAGGAAGCACGTGGCCCACGGGGCTTCACTTCAGAAGGAAGCAGCCCACAGCCGTGGGGCATGATCTGAGGCCAGCCCACAGGGGAAAATGTGTCTAGCATCGCTACGGGGACCTCTGGGCCAGTACTGAAGCTGATCAAATATTAGCATTTTTAAAAGGTATTATTTTGGAGAGACTGTGTGGCGGAGGAGAGTCAAAATAATCAAACCCCGGCCACCACTTCGTGAGCCCCTGCTTGGTGCCGCCGACCGTGCTAGGGACTCTCCGCTCTTTGTCTTATTCTTCTTGTCACCTCCCAGATGTCACCCATCCTTCCCTTCTCCCCCTGCCCAATGCCAGGGCCACTTACCTCGTCTCCTTGGGGCCCTCCCGTCCCTCCTGTAGTCGATTCTCCACCCAGCAACCAAAGCGAACGTCTCAACACACTGCAGGGCGCGCCACTCCCCTGCTCAGAGCCCTCCAGTGGCTCCCACAGTGCTCAATGTCCCACGCGTCCTCACCTCTGGCACCACCTCATCTTGTCTCCTGCCCCAGGCTCCAGCCACTCTGGCTTTCCGTCCCTCAAACTCGCTGACTGTGGCCCTTCCTTGGGGCGTTTGCTGGTGCCACTGCCTGGCACACTGTGACCGCCCCGTGGTGACTCCTTGTCATTCAGGTCCCACCTCCTCAGACGGGCCTTCCCTGGCCACCCTCTAATTAGGTGCTCACCCGCAAGCCTCTCTGACGCGTCAGTGCTGTTTGTCTTCATAGGACTCAACCCCGTCTGCACTCACCGTGTTCACTTCTTCATTTACTTCTTTGCTTTTCGCCTCTCCCACCAGAGCACATGCTTCATGGGAGTGGCCACCTTGTCTGTCTTCTCTGCTGCGTCTCCACTGCCCGGCACAGCGCTTGGCCCCCAGCAGGGCCGCATCTATAGGTGCCAAACAATCGGCTGCCCCTCGGCGCCTCCGGGCTGGCCGCTGAGAGCCTGGCAGCCACGCGCAGGCCCGCGCGGCAGGAGAGGCTACCCCACGCAGCCGACAGATGTGTGGGACCAGAGCTGAGGTGCGGCTTGTATTAGTCAGCGTTGCTTTTGTCGGAATAGGATTAGCGTAAATACCGTCCCGGGCAAGTGGATAAGGTAAAGCTCTGTTAGTTACATTCAGATGTTGATTCCCTGCCACAATCCAGAAGCATCCTTTTGCTGGGTTAGTCCAGTCGTGGCTAAGGGTGCTGCTCAGAGAGGTCAGATGGGGTGGGCATGGGGAGGCTCACACAGAGTCCTTCTCAGTCCCTGCCTTGCTCTTCCCCTCCAGGCCGCTCTCCACATTGACCTGCAGAGTGACCTCTCTGACCCCTAGGATCCAACCTTACCACAGCAGGCAGAAAGCCTTTTACTGGCTCCCAGTGTCCCGGATGAAGCCCACACGCCGTAAATGATGATGAAGATGAAGGTGGTAGCTACCACATACCTCTCTCACAACCCCCACAACAGTCCTGCAAGGCAGGCGAGGATCACTGTCCTCATTTGTCAAATGAAAATCTGATGGCTCAGAGAGGTTCAGTGACTCACCCGAGGTTACTCAGCCAGCGAGCTGCAGACACAGGCACCAAGCCCAGGGCTGTGGGCTGATTGTTTGATGGGCATTCGAGGCCTGTCAGCCTCCCTCGCCAGAGAAGTTGCCAGGCTCATCCAGGTGCCCAGGCATCAGCCTCGTCTGACTCAGCAAGGAGCAAGTCGGAGGCGGCTGCTTGCCCGTCAGACTGCTGTTTTCTGCCTGAGAAGCATCACTTGCTGTAGCCTCTTTCTCTTCTGCTCCCCAAGGATCATTCCGCATCTGGGGGGAGTCATTTTCCACAGAGTCAAGAGTTCTGAAAACTCGCTTTATTGTTGTACACTGAAAACGGATACCATGTTATATGTGAGTTATATCTCAATTAAAAGTCAGGTTATATTAGTGTACACAGCAACAGTAGAAGCTAACATTTATGCGGCATTGAACGTCAAGACCGTGCTAAGTGCTTCACATGCATTGTCTCACTTTGTAAGGTCCATTAATTTATTTATTTGAATAAGGACCCTCTACACGTGATTAAAAGAAAGAGAGAGATGGATTACAAAAAGGCATTTGGTGAAAAGTCAGTCTCTTTCCTCCTCTGCACTCCTGTCTCCCACGTCCCCTCCCAGAGACCAGTGTGACCAGCTCCTCGGGTGTCCTGCAGAGTCCCGAGTTACTACTATCTCATTTAATCCTCTCATCAGCCCTTTGAAGTAGGTATTATTATCCTTGTATTACATATCAGGACACTGAGGTTCAGAGACAGGAAGCCACATACTCAAGGTCACACAGCTTCCACTTACTCAAGTGGCTGAGCTGGGGTTTCTCCCCAGATGGACTGCCTCTCACCCTGTAGGCCTCCCTGCCTCCCACAAGGAGGTGAAAACCAGAAAGTTGAGCTGAGAAGCGTGTGCTGGGCAATCGGCTGGACACCCTCGTTGACAGGCTTTTGCTCCACATACCAATCTTGCAGCAAAGAATTCAAACTTGGACCTCAGTAAAATGACAAATTCTGACCCGTCATAGGCCTTCGAGGTTATTGACCCATAGTCAAGACCTCAGATTTTCCAACCCTGAATAGTCTTCCGTTCCTGCTGTTTCCTGCCTTCTTGCTCCTTTGCGCCCTTGGTTTGCCCTTCAGTGACGTCGGCTCCGACCAGCTGCTCAGTGTGACTAAGGGTTCGCGGGGCAGGATAGGAGGCGCACAGCCATGCAGCTCTAAAACCTGGGTTCTGCCTCAGCTCCGCCCCGCTGGCCCGCCTGGCTGGGCGGGTCCTGTCACTTCTCTGCCTCCATGTCTTCACTCGCAAGATAGGAAGAATTACATCTAACTTAAAAGGTTTGAGGATCCTCAAGTGAGGTGATAGGCCAGTGGCAAGTAGCAAAGCCTCATGCAAATATCGTTATGTTTAGTAACAATAAAAGTTGGAGTAAATCTGGTCGCTCTACGGTGAAAAAGAGCTGGCTAAATTCGCAGCTACTGTGTTCCCTTCTTTCCATCCCCCCCACCAACCTGGTTTTGTAAAATCTTCTACACTTTACAAATGCCTTTTTGTCTATTGTCTTATGAATTCTTGCCCAAGGCCTGGGAGGCAGAACCGGGGCAGGAATTATCACCCCAAATGTTCCCAGAGGGGAAGTGCCTTGCCGAGGTCACAGGGCTGGTGGGAGGTGGGTGGTCCTTAGACCTGGCCCCGAGGGACAGAGCCTGTGCTCCTCAGCCTGGCGCTCGAGGCTCAGTGGGATCGGCCCTGCCTCCCTCCCAAGGCTCATCTCTCCGCCGCCCTCTGTGCGTCAGTCTTTCCAAGTGTGTCATCACTCCTCGAGCGTGCAGTGATCTTCCTCAGCCCCTTGTCTGGGCAGCTGACGTTCCCTCCGCCAGGCTGCCTCGTGGACTCCTGCCCATCCTTCGTCAGGCCCTCCCACAGTCCCCGTGACAGGTGCCTGACACAGTAAGTTTTCGTTGTTATCATCACTATTATATTGATCATTTTGCAGAGTGATTCAGGGCCCAGGCTCTGGAGCCCAGTGACCTGAGTTTAAATCCTGGCTCAGCCACTTACTAGCTGAGTGATCCTGGGCAAGTCACTTAACACCTGTATGCCATGGAGATGTGTGCTCACTACGTCCTGAGGGTACCCTCTGGGATTGCTGCGAGGAGTAAATAATCCATGCAGACAGGAGACACAGGCCTCCCGCAGATAAGCACTAAGTGTTAGCTGTCGTTAGGATTTTCTTCTCACTGTGTTCAGGGATGCTGCCCTCTCCCAGGCCCTGTGCTGGGCACACCGAGCTGACTCACGTGCAGTGTCTGGCCTCAGAGTCCGGGGAAAGGGGGCCATGGAGACTCTCCACGACAGTGCCTTCCTTCTGCCCAAGTCACTGTTTTGCTTAAATCACCCTGTGTCCGTGTTTATGGGCTCTCAGGAACCAACGCCATTCTGCAACCCCTCCTTCCCCACCAGGGGTGGCCTAGGTCCGTGTCCCCCACCACGCCGAGTGTCTCATTCCTGGGGAATGGCTGTCAGCCCCCCTCTCTCCGCGTTAACCCCAGGGACAGGCTGCTCCCTGGGTGCAGGGAGAGCGAGCTGCATGAGTCCGTCTCCCTGGGCTGCTTCCCCGGCTGAGATTTACGAGCGGTGCCTGTCGCAGTGACCCTGCCGGCTCAGTTACAGATCTGCTTCCAGACTAGACTGGGGCAGGAGCCTGCCGAGATTTGCCAGGTGGCCCCAAGGGAGAGCCAGGGGCCCTGTCAAATGTGGGACCTCAGACAGCATGGGGCCCGTCCAGCTGCCTCGCTGTCGCACATGAGGAAACTGAGGCCAGAGACGAGGGTGGGGGGGGATCCCTTCAGAGTTCCCACCAGGGGAAGCGGGCCCAGGGTGAAGTCTAACTCGGGCCCCTGAGCACCATCAAGGGAGCTAATTTTACTGCACATGAGTGTCTGACCTCATTATTACCCAAACAGCTTTCTTTTTATATAACAAAAATATTTACTATGGAAAAGTGCTTTGAAACTTAAACCTAAAGCAAAACATTGCACTTCCGTAAACAAAGACCATGGTCTGTCCACACGAGCACACTAGGCCTGTATTAGGGGCAGCCTAACGTGCCCAGCCTCACCAGCCTGGGATTACAAAATGGAGTCCCATTTTGTCCAAAAGACGATGACCCTGGGCCTCTTTCTACATAAGCTGGAACTTATCCTTCTCAAAGGGTCCCCCGGTTGTTCCCAGGGGTCCCCAAGAGTCATTGCAAACCGGCCTGTCGATTACAGTCACCGGGAGGTGTCTGCCTGTCTTCCCTCTCCAGCTCTGGCTCCTTCTTCATCAATGTCCTCAACCAGGGAGGCCCTGGGAGGGAGTCCCACTGCTGCCACTGTTAACGCTGCCTGCCGTGGGGACAGTGTCTGGGTTCACAGGTGCCCTGCACTGCCTTTCCTCTGCGTGACCACCCTGTGGGCTGGCCCGGGAGGGAGCAGGCCTGCAAGGTGCAGGGGTGAGTCCTCCTCGAGGAGGAAAAGCTCGCCAACTGAGTCCTCGGTCAGGCCACCTCCTCTCTGAACCTGAGCGACCTCAACAGTGACACAGAGGTGATAATGCCCACTTGGAAGGGGGGGCGTGAGGATCACATGAGGTCACATGTACGTGATGCCTGGCACAGAGTAGGTGTTCCATAAATGCAGTTGCCATCATCATACTGCCTGAGACTGGGTTCCCCAGGAACAGACCCTGAAACAAGGACCTGAGACAAGTGGTTTATTTGAAGGGTGATCAGAGGAGCACCTGCAAAGGTGTTGGAAGGACAGAAGGGAAAGAGTGAAAGGTGTGTTATCAAGTTTCTGCTGTGATCAGCCAGGGCTCAGTTCCACCAAGGAGTTCCCGAGCACGGTGTGGAATGTGCCTCAAAGGTGTCTCAGTCGAGGGGGCGAAGGCTGGGTGTGTATCTACCAGTCTTGGCCGGGGTCTGCTGTGGGGAGAGGCGGTCAAGTCTCTGGCAACTTTCCTGCCTGCAGGCAGGCCAGGCAGAGCCGGCTCTGAGGCCGGAGAAAGTCCTCAGGCAGCGTCACGGGGGCTGGCACTTGGAAGCTGTCAGGTCAGCGTCCACAGAAATGGTGAACGCCAACAGACGCAGGCATCTTCAACTGGACTGTGACCTTGGTCTGAGCAGTCTCTGGGCCTCGTTTCCTCTCCTGTCGAGTGAGGAGTTCAAAGCAGATAGATCCTGAGGTCCCAGTCAGCTCCCAGAAGTTCCATAATCTCCCGCTTTTGTAGGGAGCCTCAGCGCCCCTTGGGAGGAGGTGGGCAGGGCCGGGGGCAGCCTCCCTGTCGACGGCTGAGGAGTTCAGACTCAGAGAGGGAAGTGGCTGGGCCAGTGGGTCTCGCTGTGTGGGCCCTCCACCTGCAGCATGAGTGTCCCCTGCATGCTTGTTAGAAATGCACACTCGTGGGACCCACCCTAGACCTACTAAATCAGAGACTCTGGGCTGGGGCCCAGCAATCTGTGCCCCCTCCTGGTGATTCTGATCCTGGGCCTGCTCAAATTCGAGGCCAGGTCATACAGTGAGTTAAAGGCAAAGCTGGAACTGGCATCTGAGTTCCCGCCTCCCAGGCTGTACATCTCTTGTCAGCCCAGGGCCTTGTGCTTGGTAGACCCTAAGTAGATAGCAGGGGCGTCTTTAAGCCCCACACCCATTTCTAACTGCCCCATCTCCAGGGGGCCTTGTGAGCTGTGTCTGCTAATGGTCTCTGTATGGCAATTTGCAGCCCTACAGTGTTAGGGCCTTTGGCAGTCAAGTGACTCCGCAGTAGAGAGGAAAGAGTCCAGATGGAGGAGCCCCTGGCCCCGCCGTCACTCGGCAAGGAAGTGAGGAAGCCAGATCTGAAGGCCTGGTGTCCCTCCTCTTACCTCAGCGCTCCCCTCCGCTGATGCGGGTGTCACCTCTGGACTAGCAGTGGGGGGGGGGGGGGGGGTGTCCTTTGAGCCATCTGGATGCAAGGCCAAGCCTCCCTCTGACTTCAGATGGCCCTGGGGTCTCTCAGCTTCTCCCAGATGCCTTCCCCCTTCCCATCTGATGTGCCTGGGTCTTGGGAAAACCCCCAGCTTTGTGGAGGGAAAGACAACTATCTCGGAGTCCTGGAAGCCCTGGCAGAGCAGCTGCAAGCTTCTGGTTATGCCTTCTCCGCCTACCTACTGCCCAGGGCCACTTAAAAACAGAGGCACCCATCAGTGTTCCCCGAGGTAGGGGGCCCTTCCCTCGGCAGAGCCAAAGGGCCTGGGTCCCAGCACCCAGGAGGGCTGGTCCTGGGAGGTCATCAGGGGTGCAGCTAGTGAAGGAGGCAGTGAGTCACTCAGAGCCTCCAAGGGCAGCCATTAAAACTCCTGCTAGGAGAGGGGACTCAACCAAGGTCACTCAGTCGGATCCTGGCAATCCTGACCAAGGCCCAGACTGACCAGACGAGCCTCTCTGCTCACTCTCTCCACTCCCTGTAGCTCTCCCGCGAGGGCTCTCGGGATGACCCTGACTTTGCACCACGCTTCACGTCTGCTCCACACTCACTGGGCACCGAGCCCGGCTTCCACCTTCACCACATCACTTGCCTGGGTCACCAGTGCTCTCCTTATTCCCAAATATAAATCAGGACTGTCGGCTCTTGCCCAGACTGACAGCTGCCGCTTCAGCGCCGCCCACCACTTCATCCTTAAAACCCATTCCTCGGTTTCTCCAGCATCGTATTCTTCTGGTTTCTCCTCCTCGGGCTCGGACTCCTTCATTCATCCAACTAGGATTTAAGTGGCTATTTTTATGTGTTGGGTCTGGTGACTCATGGTGAGAAAGATGGTCAGGACCTGCCTTCCAGAGCACACAGCATCACAGGACCCTCAGGTCCTGTTCTGAGCCCCTCCCCACTCTCTCCTGATGATCCCAGCTACGTGCTGATGACTGTCAAGCCCCAATCTTCTGCCTCAACCTCTCGCTCGAGCTCCAGACCCATCCTGCTGACTGCTTCCATGACACTTCCACCTGGATGGTCCACAAGCAGCTCAGGTTCGCCAGGTCCAAACCAAACTTGCGACCTTCTGCTGCCCTATTAGAAGAACGAGGCCTCCACCCATGCGACATGGGCTGTAGACTCAGAGGGGTTTTCCGTCCTCCCTCCAGCACCTTCCAACCGTCTGCCCTCTGAAGAGATGCAGCCCTCCGTGCTCCCTACAAGGCCGGTGCCCTGGGCCCGCATCGCTGACACAGCCCCCCGCTCATCTCCCTCATCTAGTCGTGTCCCCTCCAAACCACTGCATGGACATAGCTGGAGGGACCGAAAGCAAAGCTGAACAGCCCAAATGTCCATGAAGGGATAAATGGGTGAACAGTTTGTGGTATGCACACACAACGGAATGTATTCGTCCATAAAAAGGAACAAAGTACTGATCCATACGACGACACTGATGACCCTCAAAGATGTTAAGTGAAAGAC